TTTCTCTTTCAGAAATTCTGGGAACGGGTCCTCTTCTGCGGAGCTTGCTCTCGGCAGGGCTCCCACAACGCTTATTTCTGCTGGCAGCATTTCCCAAACCCTGGAAAGGGCAGAAAATGGGGGGAGGGGGGGGGATGTTAGCCCAGCCCCCGGGTCGGGCTGCAGCTCCCTCCCATCCACCTGGGCTGGTACCAGGGGGGTCTCTCCTCCATCACCTCACCCCATCCCTCTCCAAACCCAACTGTATTTACCCTCCGGGTGTACTGGAGGTTCACACAGGCAGCGATGGGGACAGGGGAAAGGGGGATGCACACCCAGGGAGCCAGACCCAGGGCCGTATCCTGCCCGGCAAGCGAGCGTGCCTCTTCCCAGGCTCCGTGTTCACATTATCGGAGATGAAAAGACAAGTCTCAGCCAGATACGACAAGTGCCTGAGCCAAGGGAGGGATGCAGGGCGACGAGCTGGGGTAAGAGATCTGATCTCCGGGGTGAGAGATGAGTGGGTGGGAAAGGAGCATTAAAAAGGCTAAATATCGTGTTTTGCCTGGGGAGGGTGGAGGACTTGGGTGCTCGGCACCGGCTCGCAGATGTCGAGGGCACGAGCTGAAGCAGCAGCTGTTGCCCAGGACCCCTTACACTTGGTGGGTGCCCTTGGCTTTGGGCTCGCTGCTCTGGGACCCCAGCCTGAATCGCATCTCGGAGCGGTACTTCTCGCTCTTCTCCGGACTCGTCTGCAGTAAACAGGGTTGAAGAAAAGAGAGAAAAGCGCTTGGCAAGGAAGCGTATCCACGTGAAACGATGCTGAGCTTCCAGCAGGTATCCAGACGTACCCACCCAAAATCTTGGGGGTATCAGAATTAACGTGCTGCTACCCCCCCTCTCCCCAAGCATCTGTAGGGCACCGTGCCGACCCAGCTTGAGAACACTTTTAGGGGACGCGCAGCCTCTGCTGCAGAAGCACCCTGTGCTCTTGGGCTCCCAGGCAGTCCCAAACTGAACAGCGCAAGGCCCTGGAGCACAGACACCCCGTCCCGTCCCCGCGTACCCAGCTGAAGTACCTGTGGGGACAGGGGCATCTCGCCAGGCAGCTCTGCCACCGCTCTGTCCCTGCAAACACAGAGCACGGGTCAAAATGGCAATTGCACCCTCTTGACTGTCTCCATCCCTGCTCCAGGGTTGTCCCCAGCCCCAGAGGCAGCGGTGGGCTGGAGCAGGACAGCAAAACCCACAACCCTTGGATCAGTCCTGGTTGGGTCCTTCTGGGTGAAGGATGTCCCCATCTCTGCTGGCACTGCCCTACAAGGACACGTTCAGTGCATGGTGCTGATAGTCCTGGCTTTTTTTCTGATGCTTTTCACACCAAACCACAATTAATCTGCACCGTGGAGATCACTGAAGCACCGTGATGGCTGAGACCCATCAAACTCATTCCCCACCCACGGCAGCCCCAAGGAGAAAACCCCACGGGTGCAGAGGGAGATGCCGGTCACTCAGCTACCCACCCAGGCTCCTCCGCGTGCTCCCAAGCCACCGCGGCCCTTGCACTCCGCAGGCGCCTGTGGGTCTGCTGGAGCTGCTGGTGGAGGTGCTGCAGGCGGTCCTCCAGCACCCGGTTGCTCTCCTCCAGCTGCCGGTTTTCAGTGCTGGCGGCTTGCTGCGTGCTGCGGAGGCTGCGGCACTGCGTCTCCAGCTGTGGGACGGCAACCAGGACACTCACACCCCACCAGGACCCCCATGAGACCCATGCTAAAGAATGATGGATAACCATCTCCTCTAAACCTGGGGCTGAATTTTCCCCCCTGAGGATGCAGAGTGGGAAACTCAACTCAGGTGCTCTGAGGATGAAGGGGAGCATGGGGTGGCAAAGGAGAGGTGGCAAAAGAGTGGGCCCCTCACTCCAAGAAGGACACTGAGGTGCTGGAGCGTGTCCAGAGAAGGGCAACGAAGCTGGTGAAGGGCCTGGAGCACAAGTCTGATGAGGAGCGGCTGAGGGACCTGGGGCTGTTTAGCCTGGAGAAGAGGAGGCTGAGGGGAGACCTCATCGCGCTCTACAACTACCTGAA